TCTAATTTCTAACCCTAACCCTAACAAATCTTAGGACTGGTGATGATCACCACTGGTGATATGTAGTAATTTTCTAATTTAAATTCGTATATCACACCTTTCATAATAAACGGTCTGGATAAGATTACAAATTTTTATCTCACAATAAATTTAAAATTTGATAAACAAAATAATATTATCAAAATATTTGTATGTGCGTATGCACGTACAGACGTACCTGCGTGTGTACACAAGTTATTTTTTCTAATTTGTTAAAATTGTTAATTCATTTATATATATATGTTTTAAAATTATCTAATTATATATATAATATATACAGCATATATTATATAGTTTTTAATAACTTTATACAAAGTCCGAAAACTCCGCACTTTTACGTCATTAACTGTTATAATCCCGACGTGATTGAGATGTAGATAAGACTGTATTATAATAAAATAAATAGCCAAGCTAATATATTTTTATAAATGTTAGTTTAATTGTAATATGCATTATTTTGCCTGCTGCATGTGAAATTTTATACGTACGTACTTTTATCAGTTATACTATTTATACTATATATCACATATAAATATATCTAAAAAATTTGTCTAAGTCTTGGGACAAATCAAAAGTATGCATTATATTCGTACAAAGAGTACTTTTAGCATGTGTAAATTTAAACTATATAATAAATATATATATATATTTTATTTAAATCTTATAATTTTTTTAAAAATTCTTATACATGAAATTAAATTAAAAAATAAAAATAAATAAATATACGAAAAGATAAGCACTTTGTTATTATCTATTCGCTAAATAATAAAATTAAAAAATTAATTTAGATTGAAATTAAAAGTAATATTAAAAAGATTTACTATTCAAATACTAATAAATCTTGAAATATAAAAAAAAAAAGAGCTATAAAAACAATGTTTTATAAGGTCATAATGAAAATTATTTATTTCTTACGAGGTATAGACGTCTAAGCATAAAATTTCTAATAAGAAATGTTTGTTTCTTGTGCAGAAATTAATTGTGTAAGTTAATCCAAGCTTAGTAATTTGGCGTGATTCCTCCATGCATACACATTACAGTAGATTCATGAGGCTTCCGACACAAAGTAAAAGAGAACCCATCATGCAACATTTTTTCTTCCATAATTAGAGATGATCGTTGTCCTATTTGGAGTGTGTTCACGCGAGTAATAACCGTTCGAGACGTACCGCTATTGAGTACAGGACGTGTAGAAAATTTTCTACGTCGGATATTCCTATTGAATCTTAAACGTGAATTATGGTTATCAAGCGGCATGTTGAAAGAAATAGTTTAGTTATTTAAAAATTTTGCCTCATTTTTATAGCGGTTGAAAGATAACGCAGCAAGGCAAACTCTTGATAAGAATACAATTGCTTATATTGTTCATATACTATTCAAAAATATATCATTCATCAAAGTTTATTGAAAATGAAACGTTTATCCGTAATTAAAATAATGCTGGCATGTCTTCACTAATTACAGTTTATATTAAAACCGGTTTGTATAATATTTTTTATATTATCGTAACCAAATTACGTCAATATATTTGCACCATTCACAATCAATTTGAATATCAAATAAATGCCAAATAAATCAGAATTTATAATTTTCGCTATATAGAATTATATCTAAAAAAATCTTATTAAATTGTGATAATTTATTGTACTGGTATTTATGCGCGTATATACTGTACGCTATCTGTATTATATTCTGAATTTTTCAGGGGTTAAATATGATGAAAAGTATAAATTCGGACTTGTATGTTTTTGTTTGGAAGCATTTATTTATAACCGTCAGTATCTAACTTTAACGTGTAACACTAGAAGTCAACGCGTAACGTACTGATAGGAGAAAACCCTCGATTGATTAAATTATAAACAATATGAAATTATTGTTCCATTAAGAAAACATAATCGGAGAAATAAACCTGAACTCCGCATCAAAGTACTGGTCAAATTTACGCACAAAAAAAGGAAAGAAAGAAATCATTGTTTATATAAATATTACTTATCTGTTATCGTTATCTTGAATTATAAATTAAGATTAAAGTTGATACCAGTTCGTGTATAATGTAAAATGAAATTGCTATTTTCTAAATTACTCTATCTCGAGATAATACTGTAATAGCACAGCGAATGTAGCACGTACATACGTAAATGTGTGCTACGTAGCCTTGCTTACAATCGTCAACATATATCTTAAATATATATATTATTTATGAAGGTCCAATTTAAAGTTAGAATTAGGATTAGTGTGTATCAAAGATCTAGATTTTTTTTTTTTGTTAAAAATTTTGCCGATCACATTGGTGAAATTTAGAATTTGTAGAATAACGAATAAGTAATTCGGTAAAATTATGGAAACGGCCGAGAATTATTTTGAATATAAATATTTTGACAAATCGCTACATAATCACATTATTATTTTAATGCTGGCGAAGTGTAAAAACTGGTAAATTTTTATTGTAATACTGTATATATTGTTTTTATTTATTCTGGCGCAAATATATTAGCCTTTTCTACTTATTTATAATCTTAAATATAAACTCATTTGTTAAATTTATTATCAAATATATCTTTTTTTTTTTTTTACTATTAACTTTAAAATAACTATATATTTTTAATAAAACTAGATAATGACCGTGCCAAACTCACGAATATGTAATTTATATAATTTACTATGCACTTATAATAAATATTCAAATTAGTTCAGTTGATAAATATGTAGTACTTATAATAATCACAAATTATTTAATACCAATGAGAGCTAAATATTTAGCAGCTTCTTAAAATATTTCGAATAACAAAGTGTGCACTCAGGGAGGTCATAATCTAAGTAAAAAAATTAATAAAAGATAAATAAATACGTAAACTGCCGTATACCTAATTCATTTTACCAATTATTAAAACCATAATTAGACCTGTGGGTTTATTCTATTTATTTTTTTCCTATTTGTATACCCGGTCTCTTACATTTTACCAAAGCCTTATCCCATGTTGTAGACCAGGGTATAGTACGTGGGGTCTTGTATACGACAGTTTACGGTAAATTAAATACCTTAATTGATAATTGGATGATTAGTATTCAAATTGATAATATTACTGTATTACACTATGCTTGTCTACAAATTATACAAATTAATTGGATGTGAAATAATTTAAGACTTTAATTGATAAAAGTCATATCAGATACAAATTAAATTAACGCAAATAGCGATGTGATACAGAAAATAACTGTATATACTTCGTAAACTGCATTAAATAGTTTAATTGACAAAATATTGGAATTATGTGAAAAGAAAGGAAATTGAATAAAAAAATGAATAATTTATCTTAAAAGACTTCATTTGATAATGATTATTATAGTTACAGACTAAATTGACGTGAATATGAAACCAAAAAAATAAATAGCTTACCATGTGAAAAAAATAGCAATCATAAATTCTTATTATAATATTGATTAATCAACATGAATATTAAAACAGTTTTAAGATATACACTTGCATTGTTTATTTAATTAAAAATTTAACATATGAGAAAAAAAAATTTAAAGAAGAATAACACTAAACTATAATACCTGACTAGTAATAATAATAGCTTTCTCAAATTATGAATAAGATGAACCTGTATGAAGTTAAGCTCCAGCTTACCTGCTAACCACAACCGGATTGCGTATTTCGAAAGATTTTCATAAAGAATATCTGGCATTTCTATAGTAAGCAATTTTAACAGATCGTTACTACGTATTGAAATAGAAATCTTTAACCCGTGCTGCTAGAATTACGGGTTAATTACGTATTGCTCTGTTCATAAAAAAAAACCCCCCTCACACAAATAATACCCGTTATGTCTGACGATCGTGCAACTCGTGATGTATTGGGTATTTTATTTGTTAATCAACTTTTTTTTTATATATATATACTGTAACTGTTTTGACCAGATAATGAAAATGAAAATCGTGCTTAGCTAAATGCGAGGACTAGAGTGACGATAAAATATTAAAGATGGAAATGTAGACTGTAGTTCTAAAAAGCCATTGGTATGCAAACTTTATCACTGCATCGAAAGTTTATTTGGCACCGGCCTTATCTCCAAAAAGCGTATTCGCACAATGGTATTTTTATACAATATTATGGGCAATGTATTTGATAAATTTGAGACTTGGTTAT